AAGAAGCTCCAGCTCTAAAACCACTGAAGTGGAAGACTCAGCTCTGCACTAACACACACAGTCAAGACCTACAAATAAGTAGTGATTCAAAATGTGCAAAACCCCTCCAAAACCACTGTAATTGCTAGGTTCAGCCTGGCCTTAATCAACACTTCCCACCCCCCCTGTGCCTCTGTCTCCACCATTCCCTGAGAAAAGGAGTAGTGCCATCCTCACAACTGTTCTGCTACAGCAACAAGCTAATACAGAAAACCCTTCCCCTCCCTGTCCTCCTCTAAAAGGACAGTGTCCCCTTCTTCTTCCCCTGACATCTTGGGGAGTTGGGCTGTGGGGGTAGAGAACAGCATGGTAGTGCTGCTGGGCAAGCAGGGTGAGGGTCCTGAAGAGGAGTAGCCCTGACATGAAGGAGCTCTTCAGGAAAAGGGGGAGCAAGGGAAGGAGAGCAACTCTGCATCCTACCCAGCTCACTCTGCACCACAGGAAAACATCCACAAGGGACAGGCTTCAACTCCCCCAGAAACTGTCTGGAAAAATTAATGATTAGAAAATTACTGGAGTAAGATTAATAATTTACAGACCACTTACAAAGGCTGCCTTTGTTAGGGTTCCACTCAAAAAACACCTACATCGATGAGTAGTCCTACTGTACACACAAGCCACACGAGCACTTCCTATGTCCACAAGTGCATTCATGTGGAAGTGCTGGAAGGCTGCACGTGGGTGGAGGTGTGCTACTAAATTACAACCATACCCCTGCCTGCACACAAAAAGTGGGCTGCATGAGGCCAACAAGGGCAAAATAATTCAGCCCGTTTAGACAGACCCATATATGGCTTGAAAAAGCGGAAATTAGAAGAACATTTCCTTCAAAAAAAAATATTTGGTTTAAACTAAGTTATAAACAAAGTAATTAATTTCTATATTTTCAAAATAAGTTATCTAATTTGTGCAGGCCACTCCCATACCAAGAGTAAGCTCTCCCTATGAAACAAAAGGGACCAAAGACATGTAAGAAATAGGCAGACGTTCAACCAGTACTTAAGGCAACTTTCATTGGTAATATTTAAATTGGTATTTACTGAAGACACGTTCCAAGGTGATTATGCCCCTTTAAAAATCACAAAGAATAAGCTAAGGATCTTCTGGACAACATCCTTTCCAACTCGTATTACACTCTTCTTTCTTCTTCCTCTGTAAAATTCCACTGCAGTGCAATTCCATCCATTGACTTGCTCATATCTTACTTTGAAGAGGAAAAAGGTAATAAAATTTAATTTCTTCCAGCTAAATATTCTGGCAGATACTTTGCACTAGAAGCATACACCACAATTTAGAATAAATGTTTAAAATAAGCTCAACTCATGCTTACTCAAAATAATACCAAGAACATTAGCAGTTACTATCCTTAACTCACATACATGAGTTTGACAAAAAGGTGTATTTTTTGTGCAGCATGTCTGCCAGACTAATTTTGTATCTGGAAGGTGTGTTTGATAATCAAGTCTATGCTCTGTATATGTGGAAGAGAAAAATGAAGAGAGTGCTCAAGCAGATATTTGTAGCTTTGGTGGACATTCAACTTTTACTGGTTCCTAAATATGATGTTTATAAACACACCAGAAGTTCTGGATACTGAGTCATCTCTGGCTTTTGGCTTGGCTTGGCTTGAACTGAATGGATTTTCTGTGCATCCTCTGCACATTCTGGTGCATCCGATTGCCATTAGAGTGTTTATGCATAAACATGCAAACAGAATCAGCCAGAGAACAAAGAATGGCCATGCAGTTGTAACACTCACTTAGCACTGCATCTCTCTTATTATTCTGCATCTCTCACATACTCTCTTCCCATTTTGTTGTTTTAACATCTCCATCAAACGGCAAACATCTGCAGCCATCCAAATGACAGCCTTGGCTCCACAGAACCCAGCAGAAAGGCCACAGACTGCACCTCATCAACTCTATGTTGATCTGTGGGAGCTTTCCTTACTGGTGCCACCATTGTCTATACCAAACAACTGTACATTTCCCTGACAATATGATGCCATGTTCAATTGTCCCATTCTTCTGAGCTCCATGTTAATAAGCCTGCACATGACTGCAGACATGTCCCCAGTGTTAAGGACAGGTGCATGGCACTGCACCAGTGAGAACACTGCTAAGTGGCTAAAAGGAACATCATCATAAGTGAAACTGGGTGTATAATATGCTTTTTGAGATAGAGAAATTAATTTGAGTCCCTTCTCTATAGACTTTCCATTACCAGGAATAAAATTTAAAAACTGTCTCCTTAACTGGGAAAAATATACCATTTAAATGATAAGAAAAACTATTAGTATATTCCTTCCTTAGTATCCGTTCCTATGAACTCACAAAGACTCTTTCTTCAACAAGCATTTGCTTGCTAGACAAGTGATGAATATTTCAGATGTCCTTTCAAAATAAACACAGATAACCTAATACAGTAGTTATGGCACAGAAGAATTTCCTTAATGACTCCTCCTACAATAACCAGAAAGAAGCATTGAAACACAGGTGTGGAAAGTGACAAATAGTAAACAAAAAGTACAGCATGTTAGTAGGTATCACTTTTAGTCTTAATTTTTCTATCTGTCCCAGCCTGTTTTCCAGAGGCAAGCATTGTTTATTTTCATCCTGTGCAGAAGAATTTGTAAATATGCTGGTCCTATGAAGCAGAATTAGAAAGGTAATTAGTCTACCAAGTAAAGAAATGTGCATCTATTAAGCTTTGAAATAGCAGAGAAATACTAACTCCATGTATTCTTGAAAGACAGTACTACAAATCCTCCTCTAAGAAAGTTTACAATACCACTTGAAACAAAACACAAAGAAAAAAATTCTTCAAATGTTGAAAGTGCCACTAGTCATATGCCCTCAGTCACTACCAATCATTAACAGGCTGAAGTTGCAATCAATAGATAGGACAGTACCACCTTACAGAGCAGTCCCACCAATAGCAGAAGCCAGGTTAGAGCGAGTCTTTTACTGAATCTTCTAAGTCTAAAAATGCTCTTGTAAGGAAGTCTGCCAATTATGCAGCTTTTTTGAAGCTTACTGCAGCTGACAGAAGATGACCAACCTCTCTCTTCCCCTTCAAATAACAAAGCAAAACCCCACCAACTCCAACCATGACATTTCATGAGATGCCTTCAGGGGCATCCATACTTACTTGGTGCATGCAAGTGCATAAATTAAGAAACACTTCAGCACCACAAAACAAAGACAAGTACTAGAAAACACGAAAGAACAATACCTAAAGCCAAAGAGGAAAACACTGGAGAATCAAATCAGCAAAGGAAAAGTTTAAGCAGAAATAAACACAAGTCCAATGACTAACACATGAAAACAGACAAGCCTTTCCAGTTTGGAGCGAAGGAAAAAAAAACCCTTCAGAAGGCTTTTTGGAATGACAGCATCATATTACATAGCAACCTGCCCCGCCATCAAATCAAAACCAGTAGTGAAACACACTCAAGTAGAAGAATCTGAAGACCTGCAATGAAACCCTACTGTAGGTGGACACCTCATACGATATACCTGATTTCCACACTCTGACAGGTGTCACACCAATCACACATTGCAAAGCTGAAGGACTCATGTGCAAACAGTCCATATTTCTCACACTACTATCAACTGAGCCACAAAAAACATTGAATGCACAAACGCTGAAGTTTTCACTCCACCCAGGTGCTACAAGAGCAGCAGTAACCGAGCAACTAAAAGCACATCCCTGACATAAGGAAAAATGCTAATTTTTGATGGATTAATTTATTTAATGAAAGAAAAAAGCACTTGCTAGTGTTGTACAATTTCTTTCAGCACACAGGAAGGTTTGCAGAGTTTGCACAAGTGCTTCCATATGAGAAGACAGACACCCTTGAGGCTGGACATGCTCACAAGTCAAATAAGGTCATTTGCTTCTTGCCTAATCTTAACCTTGCTTTGTCTGACAAAATTATAACTCCTTTAAGCAACTTTCTGTAACACATAACAGTGAAGACAAAACTGTTAGAGACTGGGGTGTTATCAAGTAAAATTACACTACAGATATTCTACATTTATCAAATCCATTACACCTGATAACTTCTGAAATTTTAATGTACTGAAGCAATAAACTATCTGATGTTACATTCAGCTGGTACAAGGAAACAGTCCTACAAATAAAGTTTAGCAACTTTTTCTTCTCTCTTTTTCCCTCAGCTTCATCTTACACGTACCATTCATCTTACTTGTACCATTCATCCTCCAGCATGCTAGACTGAAACAACAGAATTAATGACTTAATTGTATTCTAAACATTCTAAAGACTAACAGAAAGATGCACTATCCATGTGCAACCTGTTACTTTTTTAATAAAAAAACAAACAACACTACCCATGCATGTAGTAAGTCTGTGTTTTGTTTTAAAAACTAAAACATTTCCAACAGACACACCCATCTTTTGTTACCATGAAAGATAGCCATCTTAAAATTCTTGAAGAAATGTGTTGCCACGTGAAACTGAAGGCTATTGTACAAAGTTTACAGAATTTTCAGTTTCACTTGAGGCAAAGTTTAAAGACAAAAGGAAACCAAAGCTACAGGAACAGACACAAAATTGCCACTTTTGTTAATTTGTTTTGCCTCCTCAGATTAAATTTCAGATGCCATAAAATCTGTATGCTAAAAACCCCACCAGCATCCAACTGTTACCTCTGGAAGTATGAAACCGAGAACAGAGGAGATTAAAGCGCATCCTCAACGTAATGGAAAACAAACTTTTTGGTCTGCAGGCTCGTGCAGGAAGATTCAAATATGTATACAACATGCTGGAGAGAAGGGAGGGGGAAAACATGTTCTGTGCTCTTAAAATCAGCTTATCTCCTGAATAGCTGGAAAGCGCAGCTTCCCAGAAATTAACCCTTTGGCTTCCTGATCTTTATGACAAGAAAACGCCGCTTAAAACGGGAGGGAATAAATATGAAAGCGATCATCAGTTACCTTTAAAACTCTTTGCTTCCTCCTCTGAGGCCTTTTGTTTTCAGTTAGAACCTAAAAAAACATCAAATCGCAGAATAAGTTGCGGTCACAAAGGCGAGACAACCTCCGAATTTTTTTTTTTTTTCTCTTTTTTTTTTTTTTTTTTTTTTTATTCTTAATAAAAAACACAAATCTTGCACACCCAA